GAGCAGGCCAATCAGATTATGTCAGAGGCAGTCCCTCTTCCCATTACTATGTAACCCACTTGGACACTGAACTGCCATGGGCTACACCTGTGCAGGGGTTCCAGGTCATCTCCACGAATAGTCCTTGGTTGGAGTCTCTGGGAAGTTCCCTGTGTTCAAATTATCTTGTTCTGTTGCTCTCCTTGTGGAGTTCCCATCCCCTCCAGCTCTTACTATTTCCCACTTCTTACATAAAATTCCATTCACTCTGCCCATCAGTTGGCCATCAGGCTCAGCATCTGCTTTGACAGTCTATACTGCAGAAGCTTTCAGAGGCCCTCTGTGGCAGGTTTCAAGGTTGTTTCCTGTTTTCTTCTGGCTTTCAGAGGCCCTCTGTAGCGGGTTCCGAGGTTGTTTCCTATTTTCTTTTTCTTCTGATGTCCATCCTCTTGACTTTTTAAATAAAGACATTTTTACTGCAGTACTTAGTGGCAGCTTCACCTTCTCCCTCACACAATGCTTTAATGAAATCCATTTGATACTCTCTGATCATTCCGGGTTTGTGTTCTAGTTGAACTTAGACACGTGCTAGGCCCTTTCAAGATGAAACTTTGACGAGAGCATCAGTTTCTTTCCCCCTTTGAGGAAGTGAAATCTACATTGCATTTTGAAAATTTCTCTGTAATTTGAAAATTGAGGTGAAATATTCAGTCGATCTTGGTTTATGTCAAAATGATGTGATAAGATGAGAATATTTCCTCTTGACATTTTCCCAACAACAAGTACTGACGCTACATGGAGTACCACCTTCTCCAAGAAGGGCATTATGAGATAATAATTTGCAGTCTTGATGATACCTATTAATATCAGTAGCAAATGCCTATTTCCAGAATATAAATTCTGCCTCTGAACATGTAAGTGCAGTTTTGTCTGACTAAAGATAAAAAAAAAAAAACAAAAAAAAACCACAAGTCTGGAACAGAGGGAAGATGATATTCTTTGCAGCTGTGACATCAACCTGGAATAGGAAACACTACTTCAAAGTGTCAGCCACGACTCAGTGGTCCCTGGACATCATAGGTATACCTAAGGGGAAAAAACAACCATATATCTATACAAAAATGTATTTCTGTCATACAAAAATATATAATTATGGCTATAAGTGTTATATATGTAGGATAAGGGACACAATTCTTTTAAATGAAGTTCTTTTTAGCTAGATTGGTGAGAACAGGAAGGATTTGAAAGGCTTGAGTACATATCTGGGAATGCAATCTGGATTATGCTTACCTTTTGTCCAGGCATAATAAAAACACGATGTATTAAGAGAAGAGGAGTAGACATTTGAAAATAATTAAAAACAGTAAAGAAGAGCAAGGAGAAAAATCCTAGTTTGGAAGTTTGTCCAGAGAGGGACTTATAAGTAGGAGTTTCTAATTAAAGTGGTTTGTGGGTCAGGTTTGAAGTATGTTCCTTTCCTCTCAAAAATCTCTGATTGTTAATTAATGATTATTATGTGGATATATTGTTTTTAAATACTGAGTGAAAATGTGCCAAGTCAATTTCCAGTTTGTTGGAGACGAGCCTGGATGCCAAACACTAAGCCATTCACGTCTGTGTGAGACGCAGGAAAATAAAACAGCACTGTTTGCTATGGCGACGTGTTAATGATCACGCACTCATCTATAACTCTGTATTTGTCTTTTACAGTAGTTACCAATCTGCTCTTAATTTCCCATTCCTTAGGGCTTCTATTCTAGTACTTTGCAAAACCTAGCATTATTTTGTTGGCTTATATTCTAACGCAGTTAAAATTATGTGAGCAAATCATATGTCTAAAAAGGACACACTTATTCGTTTTATACATTTTATTTGTGCTGATGAGCATTTTTCTCCAGACATAAAAGTATTTTTATGTAGTTATCAAAATGAGTTCTTTTATAGCTCAGTTTTCCTGTATGATAAGTGGGTGTTCGTATTTAGTCAAATGTCTGTGTGTTCTGGCACGAGAGATTTTGTGACTCACCTACTCCAAGCCAACTTCCCATAGTGTAACTCTAATTGCTTTGTCTTTTACCTGCCAATTGATCTGGAATTGGCTGTAGACTGTTGTTTGTGGTGTGATCTGAAGGTCATTCTTAATAATCTTTTGCTGTGATTGAGAAGTCGTTGCATGCTCACTGAACTGAACTGCCAAAATTGTTATAAATCAAATGATTATCTAGAAAAGCCTCAGAATTCTGTTGTATTGGCTTGATGCATTTCTTTATCCTCATGTTGATGAGCATAGTGCCTTAACTTTTATTTGATGATTATTGTTATTATTATTATTATTTACAATTTAGTCACTTTGTATCCTGGTTGTAGTCCCCTCCCTCATCTTTTCGCAGTCCCACCCTCACTCCCTTTTCCTTTCCTATTGCTCTTGCTCTTCCCTAGTCCACAGATAGGGGAAGTCCTCCTCCACTGTTGTCCAACCCTTGCAGAACAGGTCCCATCAGGACAGCATGTATCCTCTTACTCTGTGGTCTGGCTAGGTTGCACCACCAGGGAGCAGGCAACTGAGATGTTTGCACATTAACAAATACAACTCGTTGAATCCTTTCAGTGTTGTTGTGTATATATGTCTTCAAGGCTGACCATTTTCTACTGGATAACCAATGGGGTCTCAGCCCTGAGACACAGGAAATTCCCTCTCTCAGTAGTTATTAACTGTCTGAAATTCTTTGTCTAGCAGTGAGACTTCATTTTAATTTTTGCTTTTCAGTAGCTTTATTTTGCTATGCATGCACATGCTTTTGGTTTTGTTTTTACTTTCTCTTTTACTTTTATGCTTCTAAATCTATGAGCTTGTAATCTTCATCTGCTCTTAGAGATTTTTAGAGTGTATTTCAAATAGTTTCTGTTTCATTGTTTATCATCTCTCATTTTAGGTTCCATGGGAACCTAAATAGTTCCCTATACGCCTTTATATATTTCTTATTGTCTTTATCTCTTCCTCATTTTAGAGGTGCTAATTTTCCTTTCTTCCACTTTACTAATTCTATCTTCTGTGTGTTTTTTTTTAACTTTTTTGTCCTGTATTGCTTTCTTGGTTTCCAATAACAAAGACTAAAGATTTATAATACTATTTCAGTTTCTTGCTCCATCTTTTTCTCTAGAAACTTGCCTGTTATTTAAAGTTATTTTAAATTTCCTAATCTACATTGTTAATATCTAGATATCGTATGTAAAATAAAAAAACAAAACTATGTATACTCTATTTTTCTGTTAGTTGTGATTGTTGCTCTAGCTGTCTTCAGTTGAATAATGGATTTTAAAAAGTTATACAGATTTCAGATAATAATCCTGTGTTGATAGGATTAAATTATGTGGTAGGCTGACAGCGAACAGGAATGATAACCTTATCCAGTCAAGGAAAACTGAGATAGAATCTACTTCTTCAATTCAGTTACTCATCAAACTTTTCAATAAAACTAAAGGATATTATTTCAGCCTCTTCCTTTGAGCAGTACTTCTGTCCTTTAAGCTAGAATTGCTAAAAATTGTTCCTTTTCATTTAATAGTTTTGGATTGCTTTTAGACTTTTACATTTCAATGAAGTCATATAGGCAAAATTGACTATGTGTTCAATATTTT